TAAATAAACACGCACACACGGATCAGAACAGAGAATCGAGACCTGCTCGTCTGGCTGCGGCTGTAATTCTCTCCAGCCATGCTGAGCCCACTTGAGCCACTGCAGCGATTTTTGACATTTAGCTCGCAAATGTGTGAGACAAACACACGGGCGAGTTCATTTACCCCACGCGTCTCGGTACAGCCCGCCTCGCTGGGCGCCGCTGAAACATTTAATTAGTTTGGCTCGAGAGCCCCGTGGCCCACTTCCTGGATCTGCGTGGACAGCGCATAACGAGTCAATCTGAATCTGGGTCACACAGCAAGACAGGGGGAGGGAGAGGGGGACAGGGACAGGTGACAGAGACAGAGAGAGGGGGACAGGTAACAGCAGAGGGAGTGACAAAGAGCATCAAAGGGAGAAAGCTGTAGGAAATAACCTACAGAGAAACACGGAAGGAGGAGACATCCACACCGACAACAACGTTTCCAAAGACTCCCATTTATCACCTCCGTCCCCCTCCATCTCTCCTGAACTCCTCCTCTCCCAGCCCTCGTCTCCGTCTCTTCCAGCCCCTCCCTCAGCAGGGAGAGGCCTAGCATGTGCTCAGCCTGTGGAGGTACGCGGGTCACAGTCCTGCGAGGACACACTAACACGCCTGTACCCCCACCTCCGCACGCACCTCCCACTGACTCCCCACTCGATTTCGAGTTCGAATCGCTAACCCCCCCCCAACTCAAAACAAACTCCACTCGGCTGAAAACAGCCTGAAGGAACAAAGACACAGGGGGCACTGGCTTTTTTACAAAATTCCAGAGAAGCTGCCACAGGGAAGGAGTCTCGCATCGTCCATCAGGCAACATATTCAACGCGTTTTCGCAAACTGCGTCTCCCCACTGAGACAAGAGGAAGGAATAACAACGCACGAACACACTCTCCCTCTGCGAGCTGCTTGGATTCTGGACTCCCGTGCTGTCTGTACTCAGTGACCGGACGCCCTGCCACACCACCGGACTTTCCCTATTGGTGTGTGTGTGTGTGCGCGCCTGCGTGTGTGTCTCTGTGTACGCGCTTGCGTGTCTGTTTGTCTGTCTGTCTGTCTGTCTGGGTTGTGTGCTTCAGCCGAAGTGCCCGTTTCGTGGCCTGTTGCGTTGGAGGACGGAGTTTTTCGCAGTTCTGGGGGCTCTCCCTCCAGGGTCGTGGGGGTGCAACCCTGGCTCAGTGATCGCTGTCTGAGGGGAGGGGCTGTC